TATATATTTTTTAAATTTACGTATACATATACTACAAAACATAATAATCAACAACTTAAATATCTTATAAAAAAATTGGCATTCAAAATTTCATTTGTATCACATAAATTGGGATAAATGGAGTAATACACGAAAAAATTAAGTAAAGATTATTATAAATTACAACTTAAAATATCTAAATATATATATATATATATATATTTTTTTTTAGCTGACTCTTGAAATTCATCTATGCCAAATAAATTAGGATAAAAAAAAAACATATATAATATTAAAATTACATAAAAAGTATTACTATAAATCATAATAATTAACAACTTATTTTTTAAAAAACATATAAAAATTGCTCGACTCCAAATTTCATTCATGTTACATAAATTAAAATAAATTAATAACATATATTGAGCCCGTACTGACACTTACTCTACTCTGTATCTATCTGTATAAAGATATGAACAAAATACATATATTCTTGAATATGAGTTAAAAGCCAATAAATATTAGTGCAAAGAATTTGACCAACTGCCTAACTCATAACTACCTACCACCCTTGTCTTAATAGCCCCCTACCCCACCCCACCCTACTCCCTCCAATTTGTTGGCAATTCAATTCACAACACAAGAAAGAAATAGTAGTAAAACAAGACAAAGTTTGTTTTTCACAAAGTCTTTAACTTTGTACACACACCATATATATTAGCTACTGATTACCAAACACAGAAAGAGAACCAATAACTCTCCCATCACGTTTCCTTTGTGGGGTACCCTTTTTCCGTCTCTTTCTCTACTTCTGTGTTTTTAAGAAAAACCCCACAAACACAAGAGGAAAGATTAGCTGAGAAAACCCCAGAAAAGTTGGAGTTTTTGATTCTTGTATTGACCCTTTACTTGATTTCAGGTGAGTTTTTGTCTTTTTTCTGCTGAACCAATGTTTGTTTTTTTGTGGAAAAGAATTAAAGACTGGAAATTGGTTGTTTTGTTGTTTTGGGTAGTTGGAATTTGAGATTGAGCTGAGGTTTTAGAAGAATACATGTTAAAGTTTGAATCTTTGTTTATTTTCTTGGGTTATCAGTTTGTTTTCTGGGAAGTACTAAGTAAGGATTTGTTCATATTGGAAGAAAGTTGTGATCTTGATGTGTTATGGGAAGGATTGAGTAGGAAAAATTGTTTCTTAGAAGAAAATTGTGATGTTGATGTTATGGAAAGGAGAAAGTAGAAAGTAGAAATTTATATGTTTTTGGAAGGAAGTTGTGAAATTTATCTTTTTTAGAAGGAAGTTGTGACTCTGATGTAAAAGGGTGCATAGTTCATGTGGAGTGAAATCCTTATTTGTTGTTATTGATGATAAATAATAGTGAATTATGGTGCATAGCTGGCTCAGGTTCTGTCAATTGATACTCCAGTCTTGTAGAAGAGACCAAACATCATATACAGTTTATGTGGTTCCTGCTTACATAGTTCCTGTCATTTAGGGGGAATTGGGAATGGTGCATTGCATTTTAGGGAGTGAGAGATTTTGAACTTTGGTTACTTATGTTGATCATTTGTTGTATGGTTCCCTTTAAATAAATATTGATCCTCATGATAGTTCTGCATTGCACAATTTGAGGGATAAATTGATTAATGTCAGATGTTTGTGGATATCCTCTTTATGTGCTTAATTTTGTATAAAAGTATATGGGATGGGTTTAGTCTAAGAAGTGAGGAATGCTTATGCAATAAAACTTGATTGCTAGGCATTCAGTGGGACACAACATTGAAGGAATACTTGGAAACCCTGATAATAAATGTTTTGGGAGAATCTTACTTCCATTACTGTTTTCTGATAGATTTTTATCTTTGCTAATAATCTAATAGATTGATTTCTGTGATGCAAATCCTTAATTGTAAATGAGGATCCGCGCAAAATATGATCTTACACAGGAAATCTGGTCTGTTAATTAATATCTTCTGGATTTCTCTAAACCATATTCAGGATCAGTATCCATGTTGCTTTTCTCGGTTGGATGTTCTCTCTTACTTTTACTTGCTGTTTCATTAATTTTAAAATCTGGATAAAGATAATGAGTGCTGGTAAGGCAAAGCGCTTACTTTTGTCTTGCGTTAAGTCTATGTGCTTTGACAAAACAACAAACATTCCTGATGATTATACTGCAATGCAGATTTCCTACAGACTCTTTTACTATTAATTTTCTACCCTCATCAGCAACCTGTATTTGAGTTTGATATTATTTAACAGTATGAGATGGTTAAACCCATGAATATTTGTTGATCTGATTCTAGCTAGAAATTTCCTTGATGAATTTATGTCTTGTTTTTTTTTTTCCAGGTTCCAGTGGTTTCCTCCCCTTCAACAATGTCAAGCTTGGAAGAGCCTCTTAACCTCGAAAGGTTGCCAAGTTTGAGCAACATTGATTGGCTAGAGAGGTTCTCGTCTGGTGCCTGCAGGCCTGTAGGAGAAGATATGGCAATGGGAGACTCCTGGTCTGATGGGAGAAATTGCAGCTCTTCCAACAGCTGTGTGTAAGTACTTAAAATTTTACTCTTACAGCTAACATATATCATGATTGCAGTGGTGCTTTCCAATATTTCTCTATGCACAACTTAGTGACAAATAGTGATGCTCCCGTTTTCTTGTACTGTTTTTGTGTTTGCATGGGTTTAAAGGTTTCCTTTACTAGTTACTTTGCGGTCCTTTTTTACCAAGGTATTCCTCTTGCTTATTCTTATTATATTTGAACTTCAAGGTTCCTGCTCCTTCCACTGGTCTGTTTTTCAGTAAAAAAGGTTCAGATAGGCTGATATGTTTTATCACTAATTAGCATAAAGTAAATACTAAAAACTTAGCTATCTCCTTGATGATTGCACAACAACAACAACATACCCAATGTAATCCCACAAATGGGGTCTGGGGAGGGTAGTGTGTTTGCGAAAACAATTCATAATCTAAATCTGTTTGTATTACTATTATAATGGTTGCTGTTGTTATTTGGATTATTAATTGTCTAATGTCTATCAAGGTCTTGAGCAATGTTTAGATAGAGCTGTTACAATTAGAAGCTAGAATGTTATCCTTTTTGTGACAAAGGAGGACCATAACTGTTAAAAATATTCCCATCTTTCTAGTCTTGAAGACACTGTTATCTAAATTATCAGCAAGTTTCTTGACACTTGGCATCTCAATGTAGATACTGAAAATTTTAAGTTTTTTCCTTTAGAATTGCTTGAGTAAATGATGCATGACTATCCTAATATATTTGTCTTCAGTGAAGATAATGATGAATATGGGAGAGAGAACTATAAATGGAGAAGGCATGGATCACGCAACGCCATTTCAAGTCGAAGGTCAAAGAGTCTTAGCAAGAATTATAGAGTATGTGGAACTGTGTCTCGTTCACAGTGTTTGACAGATCGTCAACCTAAATCTTACAGCAACCACAGAAGCACAGTGAGAAAAACGTTCAAGGTAATTCTTTGAAGTCCTTTTTCCCCCTCTTCTTTCAATGTCTTTGTTTCTTACATAGATTCCTGTATCCTTCTTCTTAAACATTTTAATTTCTGACTGGTTGTTTCTTTGACCGGTAGCAGTTGTTCAATGGCATGCCAAATCATGTGAAGATAGTGGAAGTTGGTGCAAGGGATGGACTACAAAATGAGAAGAAAACTGTTCCTACATCAGTGAAGGTTGAATTAATTCAAAAACTTGTCTCTTGTGGGCTACCTGTGGTTGAAGTGACGGGTTTTGTTTCTCCAAAATGGGTGCCTCAGGTACTTCTTCCTCTATTTATATATAAGGAAACTTCTTTGCATACAGTTGCAGTGGTACACTTTTTCCATCACAAAATTTGTGTGATGTTTAAGCTTGCTTTTGAGTCTACGTTTTATGGTGTATAGTGATCAGAAAATCCAATAGCTTTGTTTTATGCATTGGCTCTTTGAAACTTGTCCTTTCTTTTCTGATTCTCCTGTTCATTTTTTTGTAGCTGTCGGATGCCAAGGATGTAATGGAAGCAGTTAAGGATCTGGAAGGTGCCAGATTGCCTGTATTGACACCTAATATGAAAGTATGTAGTACTTGTTGGGAAACCTTTCTCGCTCTTGAGGAACTACAACTTTCTTCCTCATATAATTATATTGGTGTTATTTGAATTTCTGTTAGGGCTTTGAAGCAGCTGTTGCAGCCGGGGCGAAAGAAGTAGCAGTCTTTGCATCAGCTTCAGAGTCTTTCTCAAAGTCAAACATTAATTGCAGCATTGAGGAGAGCCTTGTTCGATATCGAGCTGTTACATCTGCTGCCAAAAAGCTGGCAATACCAATTCGCGGGTAATGAAAGATCTGATACTTGAGCACAAGGCTGAATTAGTTCCATTTTTCCTTCAGTACTGAAGTAGGTTCTGTAAATTGGACATGCATTTTATGTTGGCATATTTTTATATTGAAGGAATTGCTCTTTGTTTTCTGTTATCACCGCTACTTTGAATCATTGTCTTCTGGCAATTATTTTGAAGCGAGTCATCTAATTGGACTCAGTTCTCTAAATTCGATTTTCTTAGTCAAATAATGACATGATGAGGACTTCAACATTTCTCTAGGTGAAAAAAAGATTAGAAATCTTAGTTTAGTTTGCTTCGGCTTGGATGTTGCAGCGTGTAACATTTATGTCTTACCATCATACGTGGTACAAAGTTAAATCAGATCTTTCAATGCTCGGCAGATATGTATCCTGTGCTATTGGGTGCCCAGTTGAAGGAGCGATGTCACCTTCAAAAGTGGCATATGTAGCAAAGGAACTTCATGACATGGGATGTTTCGAAATTTCCCTTGGAGACACAATAGGAATCGCTACTCCAGGTAATATTTTAAATCATGTATTGCATTACAATTGAAAAATGCCTTAGTTCTTTCATTGAGATTCAACTGATATGCTATTTATGTTGCGGAAATATTTCTTTGTTTAGGGTCCAAAGCTAAAGTATTGTATTTCTAGAAAAAAGGAATTCTCCCAGTGTGACCAAGCATATTGTGCTAAAAATGCAACTAAGAGTTGCACTATAGCTTCAAATTTTACTTGCAATTGGAGGGTTGGTTAGAGACGATAAACAGAATTTCTAAAAATTAAATTTGTGAAGTGACTTGACGTCTGTTCCATGTTATTTATTTTCTTTTCAGGAACTGTTGTTCCTATGCTTGAAGCTGTGATGGCTGTGGTTCCTGTTGAAAAGCTTGCTGTGCATTTTCATGATACCTATGGACAGTCTCTTTCAAATATTTTGGTTTCCCTCCAAGTAAGTTCTTCTATCGGAAATCTAGTTGAAGCACATATACAGTTCTTCTATGTTGCTCGGATTCTTCAAAAGTAGTGTATTTTTGGAGAATCCGACATGGGTGCGGCATCGAAAGTGAAGACTTGCACAACTTAGCAATTCTTTCATGCTAGCTTTTTAAATATCTGAATCTAAATGTACAAGTAATCACATGTCATTTTAATTAAGTATTTAAATTTTAAGCGGCTGAATACTAGTGAGTAGTCAGAAATTCTGGTTTTAATTGTATAAGCAATCATGAAGGATAGGTTTCGAGAATTGGGAAGCCAGTAAACGTTGGTGCATTAGTTGTAAAAAAGAGTTAACACTTCCTCGTGTTTGTCATGATTATGAATACTGCCTCTAGTTAAGAAAGTATTGCTAAGCGCCTCATAATTTCAATGTGCCTTCCCAATGACCTCTGGTACTAGTTTTGTTTTCTCAAACCTACTCGAGATTCTATGAATAATGGTTGGGAAATATAAAGTTGCACGGGCACTAGTGAAGTCTAACCTCTCCAACCAAAATAAGAGTGGAGCAAGCTCACATGTCTGCACAAAGCTAGGAATTTTCAGAATCCTATGGGGAAAACTTTTCTAACAACTGGATGAAGAAATAATCCTATTTACTTCCATAAATTTATGTTTTTCAGTCCAAAATTTTCATTCTATCTTTACCAAATACTGCTAATGACCATGATATCTAACATTTTACTTCACATCCATATTTCACTTTTTCTCATTGCATTTTGAATTATGTACCTAGAGTGCTAGTCAATAAATTTCCAATTGGAATAATAGAGTATGGTAATGCTTTGCCATGTTCAACAAAAGCACGAAATGGTAGTTACTGTCGGTGGCAGAGCCAAGAATTCTCACAAGGGAGCCACAAAAAGATGCATGAATGCCACTCCTGGGACTCAAACCTGTGACTAGAACAATTCTGAACCACACCACGCCACTAAAAGCTTCTCTTATGTCGAGGATTAAAATTTTCTAATATATACACAATTGTTTTTATGCTATTTGCACTGTATTATTTTTCAACAAAGGGGATTCAGTTGAACCCCCCTCATTACCTGTGGCTCCACCACTGGTTATAGTCATGGAGTTGCTGTTTTTTAGTGCATAACTGTTTGTCGTATTATCCACAGATGGGTATTAGCACAGTCGACTCCTCAGTTGCTGGTCTCGGAGGCTGTCCATATGCCAAAGGAGCTACTGGCAATGTTGCAACGGAAGATGTTGTCTACATGCTTAATGGTCTCGGGATTAAAACCAATGTGGATCTACAGAAACTCCTGGTAGCCGGGGAGTTCATCAGCAAGCATTTGGGCCGCCCATCCGGATCCAAAGCAGCCATTGCTTTGAGCGGAGCAACAGCAGATGCATCCAAGATGTAGGAAGGTAAACCACTCCCAGATGTGATCAAATGGTCTCATCAAGAAGTGCAAAAACCAGAATATAGAGTAGAAGAGATGCCACTTCTATAGTGTATACTTATCAAAATATGACCAAAAATAATCTATTTGTGACCGTCTGTGAAAATGAACGATGCCATTATTTAGACAACATCAAGCTGCTCATTGCAGCATATCTAATACAAAGTGATTATTGATTTATACTTCCCTTCTTCTCCTTCTTTATGTTTGTTCAACTTGTGTTGGTATTGTTCCTTTAATTCTATCAAGGATAATTCTTTGGCTATTGTTACAAGAGCAATCGGTGGAAATCACCTTCTTGTTACTGGTGGAATTAATCCTAATGTTGTTGGATAGAGCAAAGGAAAATATGTAGATCTTGAGACCTACCCCTTGAAATTAGAATTTCAGAATCAAATACCTGTGTTGTAGCGACTTGATCAGGGAATCGAACTCTTGATCTTACTGGAAAGATAATGTAGCAACAACAAATGAATGTTTCTGGTGTACGTTTGCAATTATCAGCAAGCGTCGCAAGTCGATTCTGGGCAGCAACTAAATAACAATGGTGTTGGAAACTAAAATGCTACTGATGTGAGGCTTGTGATTAAAGATATTGCTGGACAATATATCACTAATTCAAAAACTTTAGTCAATACACTGCAAGTTGATCCTGCACAACAATTAAATTGCAATGCTAATGAAAATATAAGTGTTTATATTTGGTGATCTTGGACAAGACAAAGAGTTGGTGTAGAAGTTTAGTGACATCATCAAGAATTTTTCTACATATAGTAACAAAAGAATTGCACAATACGATGCTTTATAGGTAAAGAAATTTGTTGTACATCCAACATGGAAATTGTCACTGCTTTAAAACATGTGGACTTGCAAGCTGAAAATTTCAATAGTAAAGAGAGTACATCTCCAAATTGGACTATGATTGCACACAAAAAATTAGTTGGTAATCGTATTGGTTTCTCGATAGGTCGAAGTAATTCTCCAAGTCAGGAAAAGGGTGCAACTGAGAATCTTCAATTGTGCATTGATTCTAACTTAATTTTACCAACGTAAAATGTGTTTGAACCATTGTTAGCTATTGGAAAATTTTAACTAAAGCATTGCATGGAGAAAGGTATGTTATCACTCTCTCATGCTAGTTCGACAAGTGAATTGATTATTTTTTTTAAAAATCAAGGGGAGATAAGTGCTTCTAGGTGAGATGATTTGGTTGATGAAGAAGAGCATGTTTCACCCCCTCCTTTGAATAGCAAATTAAGTTCAAAAGCTTCAATATTTGTGCCTAAAAATGTGATTGCAAAGATGAATGAGTTGGGGACTTAGCGTCCGGGATTAGTCAATGTATAGAGTTGGGAAAGAATTTTTTTGAGGAGGATGAGGAAGATAATATGTTAGATATATTCTTTGATAAAGTGGCTAGAGATGACGATCTTTCATCTAGGCCACAAAAAAGCAATAAAAGCAAAAGGAAGACTCATGGTAGGCAACATAGTTGGGATGGTAAGACATTGAGGAATTTGTTCCAAGGCATCTACCCTGCGAATGGCCAAGCAGAATCATATGACAGTGCAACCAATTTCAACAAGATTCAATAAATCTAAGAGAAAGTGATAAACTATTAAGTGTTATTGGACATATTTGAAGAAGACAAGCGGAAAATACTCCAGATTACTTTAGACAAACAAACTATCTCTTTTAGTTCATACATATATACAAGAAAGTTCGAGTTTAATAACTCAACCTTCTTCATGACGTTTTACATTAATTCAGCATCTTCATTTGTAATATCACCATAAACTGTATCATTAACTCTATGATGATCATAGAATACCTACTTTTCTCTAGATCTTATTTTCTTCATTCTTGTTGATTAATATAGGCTTGTAATCTCATTAGGATTTGTAATGTAAGCCGTAAGGTCTCCTTGCTTGTACTTATTTACGTTAAGGATTTTATTTTATTATTAATAAAATCATTAGACAGAGACGTCAAAAAAAGATTTGTTTTGCTTATTTTAAAAAAGAAAATTATTTTTTATATTTAATAATTTTTTAAAATTTCATTATCATATATGATGGGCTTAAAAGTATAACATTTTCGCACATATAAATTTAAAATATAAATTATTATTTTTTCTAATTTTTGTTCAATCAAAAACTAAAACACATAAAATAAGATTACGTTTGGTATAAAAAAAATATTTTATGAAAAATACTTGAAAGATTAAAGCCGAGGCGAAAATTGGAGTTGTGAATCGAGATTGAAATTAAAAGTCAAGTTATAAATCGAGGTCAAGAGATGAGGTTGGATCTCAAGTCGGGTCAAAAATTGGAAAACATAAAAATAGAAGAGACAACATAAAAAGATGAGTGTCTATAGACTCCAGACATCAGAAGGCAGCAGTAAAAAAGAAGCAAAGGGGGGTTTTAGCGCAGCAGAGAGATAGAGAGAGATCAAGAATATGGATGAACAAGAATTTCAACGCCTTCTTGAGCTCTTCCCAGCCGTTCGCTCTCCTGATTATTATGTAAACAAAGCCCTCTCCTTTTTATCTATCTTGATACACTCTTTATTTTCTATAAAAATCCAATCTTTAGTACATTCTTGAAAATTGAAAAAATGGGTTCTGATTTACTATCTCTTTCACATAATACCCACTTGATTAAATTCTTTTTTGGGTGTTTAGGGTGATTGTTTAGATACAAGAAGATTAAGTTTGATTCTGTCTCTTCATTGCAAAGGAGCTATTTTTAGAATTCTTGGAAGTAGAAGGAAATAGTTTAGTCCAATTGATCTTTTGTAAATCTGGATACCCAGAACTGAGTTTTGTGCTGATGTATAATTTTTGTTTACTATTTTATTTTTGAAAAGTCCTCAAGTAGGGAGGTTATTATATGTTGACTTGATTTAAGTTACTGTTGGAGAATCTTGTTGTTTTGGCTGTTCTTTAGTATTTTTTGTAGTACTGTAGGAGACATGTTGGTGATGTTGTTTTCTTGAAATTTGGGGCTTAGTAAGCATTAAGGTATGAAGTAGGGTGATTAAGGTTATTATATGTTGGCTTGGTTCAAGTTGCTGTTGGACAATCTTGTTGTTTTGGCTGTTCTTTAGTATTTTTTGTAGTGCTGTAGGAGACATGTTTATGATGTAGTTTTCTTGAAATTTTGAGCTTAGTAAGCATTAAGGTATGAAGTAGAATGATTAAGGTTATTATATGTTGACTTGATTCAAGTTGCTGTTGGAAATCTTGTTGTTTGGCTGTTCTTTAGTATTTTTTGTAGTTCTGTAGGAAACATGTTGGTGACGTTGTTTTCTTGAAATTTGGGGTTTAGTAAGCATTAAGGTATGAAGTAGGGTGATTTAAGGTTATTATATGTCGACTTGATTCAAGTTGTCGTTGGACAATCTTATTATTTTGGCTGTTCTTTAGTAATTTTTGTAGTACTGTAGGAGACATGTTTATGATGTAGTTTTCTTGAAATTTGGAGCTTAGTAAGCATTCTCAGTTTCTATATTATCATCAATTTTCCACTTGGGTTGTTCACAAGCTTACAATGATGAAGTAAAATAATTCTCTTAATTTTTGAGTTTTGCTTTTGCTAATCAAGACTTAGAACTCGCGTGCTAAAGTTGTCGTTGTTTGGTTATCCTAACTTTCTTTATGGAATCTTGGATCAAAATCATGTGCTTATATTTTAATCATAGTCGTGGAGGTACTAGAAACTCAATGGGCAATGGCCTGTGAGTTTGTGTAGCGTATGAACCCAATGGTGGAGTTCAAATGAGCTTTCAAAGCCATTATCTTAATTGTTATCATTTTCCTTTGAAGTGCGAAAGAATTAATAGGCTAACACTGTCTTTATATCCATCTATTGCTTTTATACAGTAATATAATTATCATCACTTTTAATTTATGTTGCACCAATAAATAACAATTCTCCTCATTTTGATTCTTTCTGTCCTGAATGTACAGTTGAAACACTCATTAACTTTTCGGATCCCAACAAAAAAATCCACTCTATACCAGCCCTGAAGGCTTATTAGTTATTGGTCTTCTATTTTCTTTGGAAAGGAATACCTCTTCGGTGATATAATTGGGGATTTCAGCTGTTATCCCAGACAATAAAGAGGAATTCTCTTGGCTGATTTCATTGCTTGCCATCTTAATCATATGTTTTACATGCTTCTAATACCTTAGTCTTTTAACTAGGGTTCGAAAATGGGGAGAGTGATTGGGAAATAATTGAATTCTTGTGCCATTACCTCTTTTTTGGGATGAAAATGAGGAAGATGTGAAAGTGGTAGAATTGCCAACTCCTCAGCATGTTCAACCTATCTAGTGGGAAAATAGAAATGGTTGTGCACATATGAGACTCTACAAATATCTGTGATGTGAAAGCGAGAATAGACAAGTATATCCACATCCCTGTCATGCTTATCCCGATCATATTGATCTCATCTAGTGCAGTCATTTAATTTCTGATGGTTCTTTTCTTCTTCAGTTTCTCAGTGCATATTATTCCATATATATAATCTTACCTCTCAACTCTCTTTTGCATTTTATTCGTCTCCCATCAGCTTGATTTGGATGCGTCAAGTCAATCAACTTCCCAGTCCAAGCAGAAAGAGGAGGTAGGGCAGAAACTTTTCAACACATAATTATCTGAAGCTTTGTTTTCAGATTTTGATTATTTATTCTTACGCCAAAAGCTGTATCAGGTGAAGCAATTGCAAGATGGTCAGAGTAAGGGAGGTGTAGTAGAGTCCAATACTCGAGCAATGGGCCATGGTGGTATGTTATGACGTTATCAAATTTTTTTCTGGAAAATGACCAAAGTTGTTTACAATGTCCTTAGACTTATTCAACCTGCATGAAAATACTGTTGTCGTTAGATCATAAAAACTAAACAACCTGCTCTATTTTATTTTATTTTGAAATTGGTAACAGTACAACCTATTCTATTAGTTTGTATGGGTGCCCTCATTTCTGAAGTGTATATAATTTCAGATTGATCTATCATTTAATAGCTGGCATTAAATCCAGGGTCTTCGTTCCGACTCTCTTATCATGCAAATCAGTTTTAAATTACTGTTTTCTTTTTCTTCTCATTACGGAATCCCCCCTTAAGTTTCAGTAGCAAATCTTCTTGTCAGAATTTAAGCTTCAAACCCTATCTAAACTTTTACATAAGGAAAGTAAAATTCAAAACCCATTTATTTTATTCGTATCAGAGATTAAAATTATTTATGTATGCCCATTTCGAAACAATCAATGGTAATAAAGTTTTTGGGCTATACTGAGATTGCTCGATCTGTATCTCTTACCACCACTTTGGAAAGATCTCACTTACTGAATCACTTTCATGTTACAGAAGCATTTTGGGGCAAACTAAAAGCAGCTGCGGAGAAAAAGGTATCTCCTGTTATGATCGTTTGTTATGTAATTTTTTTCACAGGGTCATCACGAACAATTTCCCAATGCTGTGCTATCAGATTTTGTTCAGCCAAACCTTGTAGATTCAAATTTGCTTTGGTTTGAATAGATGCCTGTATATAAAGCAAAGGGCTATCATCAAGTTACATATATTGTTTTGAACTTGTTGGTCCTTCATATAATTGCTCGAGCAGATACTTAACACCTCATGATTGCTCGAGCAGACGGCGTGAGTTCACTCCTTTTAGTGTTTCCTTATGTCTATACATCAGCATATCCAGTGTACACAAGTGGTGTCTGGGGGGGGGGGGGTAC